GATAAAAACTGAAAGCTTTAACACTAAAATCAAGAACAAGACAAGGATGTCCACTATCACCACTCCTATTCAATAAGTTCTGGAAACACTAGCCACGGCAATCAGACAAGAGAGAGAAATAAAAGGAGTAAGGATAAGGAAGAAGTTAAACTTTCACTATTTGCAGATGACATGATACTCTATATCGAAGGCCCCAAAAACTCCATTGAAAGACTACTAGAGGTAATAAATCAATTCAGCTGTGTAGCTGGATACAAAGTCAACACTCAAAAATCAATAGCATTCTTGTACACAAACAAAAACTAACTGAGAGAGAAATTATGGAAATATCGCCCTTCACAATATCATCTAAAAAAATGAAATACTTAGGAATCAACCTAACCAAGAATGTAAAAACCTATATGCTTAAAATTATGCTACCTTAAAAAAGGAGACTGAAGAGGATATTAGAAAATGGAAGAATATTCCTTGCTCTTGGCTAGGAAGAACCAACATTGTGAAACTGTTTACTCCCAAAGCTGTCATACAGATTTAATGCTATCCCATTCAAAATACATTAACATACCTCACAGATCTAGAGAAAACACTCCTAAAATTCATTTGGAAACAGAAGAAACTGAGAATAGCAAAGGCAATTCAAATTCTGGGCAACAAAGGCAAGACAAGAGGCATCTCAATTCCTGACTTGAAACTACACTATAAAGCCATAGTGATAAAATCAGCATAGTACTGGCAAAGAAATAGACCTGAGGATCAGTGGAACAGATTAGAAGATGCAAGCACATCTACAAAGACACTCAGCCACCTGATATTTGACAAAGGGGCTAAACATGTTCACTGGAAATAAGATAGCCTGTTTAATAAATGATGATGGAAAATTGGCTTTCCACATGCTGAAGACTGAAACTAGACCCATGCATATCACCATGTACAAAACTAAAGTCTAAATGGATCAAAGATTGAAATATTAAAACAGAAACACTAAATCTACTGGAAAACAAGATTGGTAGAAGTCTTGGAGACATAGGTGTAGGCAGAGAATTCATGAACAAAATACAAACTGCACAGGAAACACTTCAAAAAATCAACAACTGGGATCTCATATTATTGCAAAGTTTCTGCACTTCAAAACAAATCACCAACAGAGTGAAAAGAAAACCCACAGAATGAGAAAGAATTTTAGCCAGCAACCCCTCAGACAAAGGACTTATATCCAGAACATACAAAGATTTGAAAAACGTCAAGCCTCCCAAATTCAAAGACCCTCTCCAAAAATGGGCATCTGAGATGAACACACATTTCTTAGATGAAAATATACAAATGGCAAATAAATACATGAAGAAATGGTCACCATCACTGGTCTTTTGAGAAATGCAAATTAAAACAGCATTGAGATTTTATCTCACCCCGGAAAGAATGATTGCCATCAAGAAAACAACTGATAAGAAATATTGGCAAGGCTGTGGTGAAAAAGGAACACTGCTCCACTGTTGGTGGGAGTGTAGACTTGTGCAGCCACTATGGAAATCAGTATGGAGAATTCTCAGAAGACTAGGATTGGAAGTTCCATTCAATCCAACTATTCCTTTTTTGGGGTATTTTCCTGGGAAAACTGAAAAGGTTGTGTCTCAGTGATATAGGTGCACTCACGTTCATAGTAGCACAATTTGTGATAACTAAATCTTGGAAACAACCAAAATGCCCATCAACTGCAGAGGAGGTGAAAAAGGTGTATTTCTATAGCATGGAATATTACTCAGCTATGAAAAAGGATGCTCTTGAGGCCCCCATAGGTAAATGGAGGCAACTTGAGACTATCCTCATAAGTGAAATAAATAAGAATCATATTTATAAATATCACATTATGTCTCTGGTATAAAAAGTAATAAGAATTATAGGAGTAATAAAACCCCAAATGTGTAATTGCTATTGTAAAAAAGAGAAAAAAAGGAAGTGCTCTAAAGGATATAACTGCATGTACATTTAAGTGTGTAAGATAACCATATTGCTAAGGTTTTGTTGGATCATTGAGCAGAGCTGTTTGCAGTCTCACTGTTTGAATATCCACATTGTATGCTTAATTTTGTAACTTGAATAACTATTCCTAAGATGACAGCATTTAATTTATCAACTAGTGATTTCTTAGTGTTTACTTTTTTTGAAATTCTGTAGTATTACTACCCATTTTTCTGTTTTGCTTTTTTCTCTTTAAATAATTTTTTTAAATGTAAAGAAAAAAGAAGAAGAAGAAGAATGGGCCACTATCTCCCCAAGAACTAATTGCTTCCTAGTTCGGGATGATGAGCAGATGTTGACAAAACTTCTACTTCAGGATGTTCTCTCTTAAAACAAGTGCTTTGGGGCTGGGGATTTAGCTCATCAGCATAAGCGCCTGCCTTACAAGCAGGCAGTCGTGAGTTCGATCCCTGGTACCGATAAAAATGGAAAAGACCAAAAAAAAAAAAAAAAGTGTTTCAAAGGTATCTGTGAAACCCATGCCTAAATAAAGCTATTTCAAGTTACATTTCATAACTTGTTTAGTCATAATATTGTCTTTTACCTATAAATGACTTACTTATTTTAATTATGAAGTTATTAGAAGCACATTACAGATAACATGGAAAAAGAAGCCACCTGTAACAAAACAATTTACACAACTAATGTTATTGTGGTAATGTATTTTATCTCCTTTCTGATACATATTTTTAATTGTATTATGAATTATTGTTATGACTTGTGTCTAGATGTCTTAGAGCCAGTCAATTATAGGTTGAAAACTCTACAAACTGTAAGCTAAATAAACCTTTCCTGTTTAACTTTGAGTGTCATGTATTTTGTCCAAAAAATGAGAGACAAGTAACTAAGACAGAATTTGGTACAAGAGAAGTAGGGTTGTTGCCCTTAAGATTCCATTGGACAAAAATACTATTCTCTATGCATTAACTCTACTGTAGATAGGTTGTGGGAATCTTTCTAGTTTATTGATATTACAAAAAGAATACTACAATTCATTTTTTCTTCTACATTTTATATACAGACATCCAAGGGATTCTTTACAGCAAATATCTAGAAATGGAATCTTTGAATCTCCAGGCATATTCATCTTCAATTTAACTGAGTAGCATCAATTGGTTTCCAAAGTGACTGAACCAATTTCCACTTTCCATGGCAATCTGAAACTCCCTCCTCACCCATTCTCACCAACTCATGGTACCTATATTTATAACTCTTAAAAACAAGGCAGAATATCTTTCACTTCTGAATCTTTCTCTTTATATACAGCTAAATAAAGATCACATACTCAAAACATTTTTTCTGACCATTTGCTGTCAGGGAATAGATTCTATGCAAAGACAACTGAGATCAAACATCTGTAGTTATTTATATCCATAGGTTAAAGCTTTGCTTTAATTTTTAAAGAATATTTATATAAACATATATTCAGACACATGAGTCTACATAGAAAAATATGCATAATTTTATTAATATAAAAAGTAGGAGCAAGTCAGTAGCATTTTCTTGGTTAAGAGAAATTCTAGAAAATCTGCACATTACACACATGGACTGTCTGTTTACATAGGAATGTAAGAATTCTTATATAGTTCCATTTATGAATCCTTATATAGTTACATTTATGAATAAAATAGGTTTTGAAATGCAGTCATTTGAACTTAGTAATTGTCTTAGTTACTTTTTACTTGTCCCTGAGACAAAACACCTGATGCCCAAAGTTGGGAAAGAAAAGGTTTATTTCTTACAGTTCTTAGAGGTTTCAGTCCATGCTCAGTTGGCTTCAAGGCAGGGTGGCATGGCAGGGCTGCAGTTCATGGCAGAGCAAACAGCAAGGTGGAACTGGCGAGAGTGAGCGACACATGCCTTCTTCCCGCCATTACATCATGTCCTGGCTCCACCCCTAGGCGGGTGTAGAACTCACACCACCAATCCAAGCACTATACAATGAACCAATCACAGATGCATAATGTAAATGCATGAGGCCTGGGGGCCACCGACATAAACCATGACAGTAATCCACTTCACAAAATTAGTACTTGGAACCACTAGCTAGAGGTTCTGATTTGTCAACTGGTATAAAAATCAAGTTAAACATACATAATTTAAAATGAGCTTAAATATATACCTTACTACTCAGGAATAGGGCTTGAAACTCTATAAATTTATTTTTTCTCTGATTATAACAGATTGTCATAGTCCCACTACCCCCACCAATTTAAAATCAAATTTGCTTTAAAATATGAAACATTTTATCATCCATCTGCACAATTTCAAGATAAACTTTGAGACATTTAAAGCTAAAAGTATTGTATTTGTGCAATTTCAACAATCAGCAAAAGATAAAATTTTAAATTATAGTTCTGAAAAGGAAACATTTCTTACTAGTCAAATATATAATTTTTATCTAAAATTAACATTACTAAAGTTATGTTAAAGAGAATATGGCAAACATTTGTTATCTCATAATTTTTTTTCTTTTCAAAGGAATAAAACAAGTGAAACAAAACAATGGGAATAATATTGGATTTCAAAAATAAGACAGTAGGAAATCAACCATAATTATTGTAATTCACATTGTTATCCTCTAAACAGATGCTCAGACCACCAGACACAGGCATGCAATTTAAACACTAAATTGTCTGTTTACTTCAGTTGCTATCATTTGAGAAATATCCAGTGTGTGACTTTAATTTCTTTTGTGCCTGTGTGTTCTGGACTTGTTCTGAATGCACTGGAGGTCAAGATTGCACCCTGCTCCTTTATTCTCCAATCTGAGATTCCCAGAGTAACGGAGAGATGTGGGCAGCTGCTTATCAACGTTCCCGTGATGGCTGTGTGGCCTCTTCTCCTACAGGCACAGGGCAGCCGTCTCACTGGAGCAGCATGGCCTCTTCTCCAGGCCCATGATAGTGGGCTCACCAGGGGCTATGGCTTCTTCTCCTCTGAGCTCATGGCAGCGGGCTCACTAAGGAGGTGCTAGAGGGGGGAGTTGTTTCTAATGAATTGATCATCACATTTCTAAAATTCTGAAATGGCCAACAGACCATAGCTAGATACCACTTTAGGCTTCAATTTGAAACCAACAGCTTCAGAAAATTGCCAGCCTTGATTCAGGGCCATATATCTCATAATTTTGAGGGAAAATTTTTTCAATTGCAGAAAATCTTTTTTTTTTTTTTTCACTAGTTTAAAAACATAATGGAGGGCCAGGGATTTAGCACAGTGCCGTAAGCGCCCCCTGGCAAGCACAAGGTCGCGAGTTAGATCCCTAGTACAAAAAAAGTATATATATGGCAATATAAGCTTGCTTGCAGGGGTTTTGTTTTTTGTTTTTGTTTTTGTTTTTGAGCAGGATCCTGCCATGTAGTCCAGGCTGGCCTTTTAGCCCAGGCTTACTTCAATCTTGCAGCAATCTTGCAGCTTCAACTTTCCAAGTCCTGGGATTACAGGTATTATTGACCACACCTAGCAAATATGACCTTTCTAGTATCACACCCTTCCCCCAATATTTCGTATATGCTTCTAATATTTAAAATATTTGATTTGTTAACAACATTTTATCCTTGATTTTAATTTCATTAAGTAAAAATAAAGAGGCTAGGCTCTGAGCAGAATGACTAACCTAGAAAATTATGAAATATCCCTTTTATTTTGTACTATACAGATTTTAGCTTTACAATAAATATATATATACCTGACAATGGCTGTCTGATAACTGAAGGATTCTGAAGCCTGAATCTTAGTACTTGACTCCCAACACTTGCTAGCTGAGTGACATTTCAAAGTCTGTATTCCCAAATGTGCAAATATATGATAATAGTTCCTGAATATCCCACAAGATATTCTAGGAATATCTCACAAGATGTCTGGGAAAATGAAGTGAAAGAATGTTTGTAAATGCAATCAATAAGCCATAAAATGTAAACAGATGTAAATCACCTCATGTTCAAATTCCAGCTTTATTTTTTGGTTAATGACTTTAACTTTTTAAAGCCTATTTCCTTGCCTTTGAAAATGGCAGTTTGATGAGATGTAAGTAAGAAAATACTCTAGAGTTTAAGCACAATATGGGTGATAAGGGGCTTAGTAAATGTAATCAGTATTTCTTAATTTATTGCCTTCATCAAGAAACAAATTGCTTAGCATTGTCCTTCCAATCATAATCAGTTATACAAACTACAAATTGTAGGTCATGATAAGTGACCTACAATTGGGAGAGAGCTAAATTTGATAACAGTCTGTAGAAAAATTGTGGATCTTTTCTCTATAAAGCCAAGCAGCCAACACAAAAACTAACCCTTGCACTTATTAAGTAACTAGTGAAATAACCTGGACAAAACTACATAGATAAATATCCCATTCTAAGAATATTGTTGCAAAGGTCAAGTATCAGCATCAGTACAGTTTGATAAATAAGATGCTCAACATGTTTGGGTAAGAATACTACTTGTTCATTTCTCACAAGGACACTTCAGTTATGACTTATGTTTCTCTCTTGGCTTGTGTTTTTATATCACTCTGTTCTTTGTTTCCTTATCACTCATATCTACAACCAAATGGCTTTGGGCATTATCATTCAGCTGTCTTTTTTCCATGTTGTCCTGGGTGTTGGACAAAGTGGATCATCAGGAGAAATGTCATGTGCTGCCTCTCACAGGCTTCATTTGCCTGCCCCTGCAGCGCTGGATGTCAGACATCTCCAAGCCGTTATGACCCAAATTCAGATCTGCCATGTGCCAGGTAACCTAGACAACTGTATTGGAAAATTCTGGCTCTAAGAGATGCTAACTCTTTAGATGATTCCATTAAAAAAAACTCAATTAAAAAGTATAGAAATTTTTGTGTACTATAATGGATGGCATAAAAAACAAGATAAATGTAAACCAAGTAGCTATTATTTCTGAATATGCATAGAGCACTGACTCATGGTAATTTCTGATCTTATCCCAATGAGTTGCACAAGTGCTGGAAGTCAAACACCTGCTCATTTGCTAATGCAGCAGAGGGAATTCAAACATTGGGATTTAATGACTCTAAAATATACCACATATTCTATTTCAGACTAACAATATATTTTCTTTCATACATGAGTTTGTTGTGATAATAAATTTCATAGCTAAAAAATCTGTGTATTCTATATTCTGCCTTACTGATGGTAATTTAGTTTTGTGTTCTAAGAAAACTATAAGCTCTGGAAGAATATTAGCCCATTTCAAAATTTGAGGAATTGTACACAGTGTCAAAAAATGATAGCATTCCTGTGGCATTCAAGGCAATTAAATACATTTATGTCACATCAGATCCTAATATAAAAATATAATAGCATACACTTTAAACATTAAAGGTAGATTTTAATCTCTCCAATTTTCTCTGGGGAGAGGATTTTGTCCACTGCCTGAAGATAACTTGGTTGATATTTATTACGCATGAAGTCTGTGTCCAAAACACAGCTGATAATCTGGTTATATATCTACTAGAAATGTTTGCTAAAATTATATATAGACCACCGATGAAGAGAATAACATTTATTTCAGCTCAGTGAACTTGTAATGACCTTCTGCTGCATGTGAGGTACCATGATGGGCACTGACAGGAAAAAAAGACAAAGCCCTTTGTAGTCTTATCGATGAGTAAGCACAAAAATAGGTCATTCACATACAATATATCAAATGCTCCGAGAGAGCTGGGCACAGAACCATGTAAATATGGACAAGGAACTTCCTTTCTAAATTTCAGACTCACTAATAGAACAGCCTTCTGGATATCATTAACTTCTCAATATATTCAAGACAAAACTCAGAAACTGTCCCACCCAAGTAATTTTAGTGAATAACGTTCATTTTCTCTGACTTATAGAGTCTGTTCTGCTTGTATGCGAGAGTAATATTCAAACAATAATTGACAGGGTGGGTATCTGACCCAGCTCTGCCCTCACTTAGGTGAGGTAATTGAGAGGTAGACAATTCTGTTACGTATTTTACTCATCATTTTGAATTTCTTTATACTGAGGAAACACTGCAGTAAAAATTAATCAAAAGAAAGCTCCTTGAAATTTATATTGTTACTAGGATTGTAAACCTTAAGAAATACCATGACCTTGGTGGAATTTCAGAGATTAGTTCCACCATCTAATACTTGGCAAAAAAGAAGGGATAGTGATAACTATTCTATTTCTGTTCAATTTACCTTTCTGGCCTGTATAGAAGTTGAATGGATCTTGGTGTCTGTATATTACTTTCCATTTAGGTGACTCCAGTGGCAGCTGCTGCTTAGATGTAGTTTGCTTTCAGCAACAAATTTAGCCCCTGGCACCTAGTGTACTGCTATTGATCTGCTAATGCTTCTTCTCCCACAAATATATACAAGTATTCCCCAGAAATAGTTTCCTACTACCTGATATATATAGCCTCAGGTCTGGGACAACTCTGAGGGACTTAGGACTTTGCATTGGGTAAGTAGGCACTCTACCTCACTGAGCTCTCTTTGCGGAGTTTAAGACAATACAGTGTGTACTACATTTGAGTGTACTACTTAGAGCCCACCTGCAAAACTGCCACTTCTGAGGGGAATTGTAGGCTGATGTGTAAGATGCTCTTCTTTGTCACAAAGCAGTCCAAATGACACTTTCACTGTCTATTGCAAATAAAACACTGTATAAAACCTCTGGCAAGCAGGAATTAGAGAATTCCCATGGAGAACTCATGCTATTGAGCCAAATCTTTGCCACTTCTCCAAAAAGCATCCACTACCAAGAAAGATCTTAATAATCACTTAGGAAAAAAAGGGTATATTCATTACATTTTGTTTTAATTTACTAATACAGTGCATAATGAACATTCATTGTTGTAGCTGGTATACATATGTCACACATCTTGATTCTTTTATGCACCTTCCTTTTTCCTCTCTCCCACATACCTCCATCACTTTGTTTCCTTATCATTTACATAAAATCTATGTTCTTCTTCTTATTATCTATATTTTATTTTGCTCTTGAAGTTACTTACATTTTTGGTTTCTTTATAAGATAAATCATGTGATATTTAAAATCCCATGTCTGATTTCATCCACTTAATACTATGGTCTCAAGGTATATCTATTTTCCTACATTTACTCAAAATCTATCTTTCTAGCAGAGTAGTACTTCATTGTATCTAAATTCTCACATTTTCTTCATCCACTCACCCATTAGTGAACGTACAGGCCACTTCCAAATTTAGTTACGAACAATTGTGCTTCTACAAACATGGATATGTTTGTATCACTATGATTTTAATTATAATCACTATATTTTAATTAACTCTTTGACCAGTCACCATAGAGCTATGTTATGATGCTGTATATGAAATGGTTGTAGCAGCAAGAGAGGAAGTTATTAATGTGCTTAACATCATGGACTGGGTTAGCTACTGTTTCTGATAAGTCCCTATGGGGCACAAGTCCTCAAGAAACTAACCAGCTACTTGATACAGACTGATTGCAGTCAATCCCTACGTTTTGGGGCAGGAAGAGATTTGGCCCAGTTAAGGTAGAATATATACAATACAATATATATATACATATATATTATATATATATTGCTTTCCTGAATGTGATAAGTATTTACAAAAGTATCACAAACAATATATATATATAATATATATAATATATATAATATATAATATATAATATTATATAATTATTATATATTATATAATATATAAATTATATAATTATTATATATAATATATATTATATATAATATATAAGTTATATAATTATTATATATAATATATATAATTATAATATATATGTAATTATATATATATATTGTTTGTGATACTTTTGTAAATACTTATCACATTCATGCACTTTCAGATATTTTCCTCACCTTCATAGTATTCCACAAAACATTATTCCTGATCATCATTCCTGATTTATAGCCGGAGAAGTGCAATATTGTGTTCATTCCCATTGAATTCTCTGCTCTTACCCAGAAAGAGCACCCAGAAATAGCTGACTTCATAGAATAGTGGAATGGCCTTCAAAACTCATTTAAACTGCAAGATAAAATTTTCTGAGTCAGCTACTAATAGATGATGCCATCTTCTCTGCAGCCAAAATAAATGGGTCTAGGAATCAAG